GAGAGAAATAATCAACACCGGGGGGCGAATAGACGACGCCTAGAACAACTTTAACTCCCTTGATAGAAACTTCTAGGAAGATGTATTCAGCAGAACTGGAGTAGAGAGAGGGAGATGAATTAAGAATTTTATATGGGATGCCATGACGTAAGTATATGGCGACATAACCACCGCCTTTGCCAGTACGATCATTGCGGATTAAAGTGTGCCCAGGAAGTGAGAAAGAAGAAGAGGAAAGACAGGGTTTTAACCAGGTTTCTGAGATAAAAATAGCGTGAGTGGTGGCAGAAGAAAAGGTTTCAATGAAATCTGAGAAATGAGAAGGTATGCTTTGCTCATTTATATGACACACGGTAAAAGAGTGAGGTAGATTTCGGAAAGAGTTGTGTAATAATGAACCCAGTGTTTCCGGTTCTGAAACAGAAGTAGAAGAAGAAAAGCTGAGGACACGAGCGGAATGAAATGAATCATCATCATCAGACATTAAAATAAATAAATATAGCAAATAAATAAATATATAAGGAACTAAAAACAAATCAATTAATTACACAAAATAATACTATGACTGTCCTGCCGGTTGCTTGACATTTACAAAACATAAAATTTGATATAATGACAACAGGTTGATGTTCAGAACTCACGATCCAGGTACAATAAATGCAAAATTAAAACGTCAGGGTATGAAGTTGCACCCAGATCGCAGGCACCGAACGCAGCCCGAGCGGGCAAAATACCAATATGCCAGGGCGATAAAAAAAAATTTTTTAATCATTGTTCAGATTCACAGTGACGTCATGGCTCTTTGCCTTTCTCAAGATGGGAAAAAAAGATTAAAAAAAAAATTACTGTGACGTTTTCATTACTAATTTAAGTTTTTTAAATTTATACAAAGTGAATTGAAGGTACAATAAAAAATAATAACTATTTAGACACCCAATGTTATACCTGAAATAACAAACAAACACTTAACAAAAACTAAAACTAAAAAAAAATCCATATTAGAAAACTAATGGTGCAAAATAGGACAATGGAAAAACAAACTACATAACTTTCTCGCCCTGGCTGCTCGCTTGGGCTTAGAACGAGACTCTGGGGAGAGCATTGGTGTTGGTGACCCAACTTCAGTTGCTGACTGCTGCGACTGCGAAGCACTTTCCGGCTGCGGCTGCTGCTGCGGCGGGGAGTAGTCCTCTGTCGCTGATATAGACGACAGATCGCCTTCAGTGTGCAGTCGCTGTTTCGTTCCGTCATTCAGCTTGACAAAAATGTTCCCCTCGATTGACCAGCACCTCTTGATCCCAAAACGTTTGCGAGCACGAATGAAAAGTGCTTGACGTTGACGTGTTAGGAACTCGGATAATGTATGCGGAGTACCCTTGAGTGCTGTCTTCTTACTCCAAACAGTAGATTTGATGGAAATATCCGTGAAACGCAGTAGCACAGGGCGTCATTTCCCCTCTACTGATGCACCACCGAGACGATGACAAACACGTAATTTATCTGAGGTCAGATCCAAGCCCATCTTGCTATTCAGAAGACATAAAATGAATTTGGAAACATCTTCAATATTCTCCGGTATGCCGCCAACGAGGAGATACTTCTTGCGATGCCTCATTTCTATGTCATCGACGGATTTGAGAAGCTGTGATATCTGGTCTCGCAGTAACGTCAACACAGACCATACCTCAGACTTGAAGTCATGGAACTCCTGTCTTAGTTGTGTAAGAGAAACATCATCCTTGGGCTGTGAAGAAGAATTCCATTTACTCTCCAGCTCGTTCATCCTTAGTAAAAGTTTTGTTTCCAAAGCTTGCTGAGTCTCAAGAACTTTTGCAATATTGGCCATTGTTCAGTGAAAATTATGAGTTTCTATAGTGTTAGTGAAACCGGTCAGGACAGTTGGGTAAAACACTAAAAATTGCACATACACTGAGGATAATAGTACACAATGTAAATAGTGCTAGATACTTTAAAAATTTACTGTAAAGGATCCTTTAAAATAACTGTAAGTATTTTTAAATAAATTTTATATTGGAACAGTGTCTTAAGTGTTTTCACTCCTACCGCCGAAAAAAAAAGTTATATGTTTACAAAAAAGTGAAATAAAACGTGTGCGATGTCGGGAAATGCTAGCGTCATTGAAGGATCTTTATAAGATGTGTTGTTTCGTGGCCAAAAAAAAACTATATCATGTAACATGTCTGTTAATTTAATAATTTAACCTGACTTTATCAATTAAAAGCAGTCTATATCATAATTACTTATTAACATAGTAAGTATAAACACAGGCTTCTAACCCACAATGTTTGTTAGCAGAAACATTATTATTAGGTTGCCACTTTTGCTGGTTAGCATACTCAAATATTTACGGCGCATAATTTGGTTATTTCATTAATAACAGAGTGCCTAAACGATGTTACTTCTAACGAAGATATAAACTTTGCGCCTAAATCCCATAACTTCTCCTATAAAATAGAACATGATTCCAGATTCTAAATTTATGCTCATTGAATTACTTTCAGTAATAAATATTGGAATAGCTCTTGGCTTCAAACCATTATTCCTGTACGGAACATCATTCCCCGCTATAAAATTTCACTATTGTCAAACGGAATATAATTTCCATTGCGATCGCATTCTATTCACTTCTTTATTATATAAGCTTCAAAGAAATTATAATTAAAATAGTGATCCTATTTTAATAATGGAAGCAAAAGCATGTTGTTTGTTCTTAGCGATATAATATTCTGTTAATATGAATAATTACTTATTACCCTTACAAAATGAAATGAAATGATAAACATGTTGTTTTAGTACTAAAGAAGGTATTTTATTTAATATGCTCATCGCTACGGTAGTAGTGGGGAATCCGTTACTTTTAAAATAAAACTTCAAATTTAGTTGTTTGTAAATTAAAATAATGTTTAATTTACTTCATTGAGGAAAAACTGTTTTCATTATGAAAACTTTAATTTAAAGTTACCATGCAAATTATTTTTGATCAATCGAAAACTTTAATGTAAATATTTCATGGAGTTGGGACTAGAATCAAGGATAAAGCCCCTAGTATTCGGAGTATAAGCATCTAGTCCTAAAGGAAATCCTATTATAATAATCTCATAAAGACGATATCGAATTTCCTTTTGTAGGTTATTAACGACTAATTAGTTCCACATAGGAAGGTAAAGTATAATCTTTCATAAATAATACAGTTTTAATATCCATATGTATAATATTCATTATCCGCGTTGTTATCCGGCAATTAAAAGGTATTGGTTTTAGTAATAGTATATATCTATTTACCGCTTACAAATTGGAAAATGTATAGCAATAATCGCTTCCAACATCATTTTAATGAATGTTCTAATAAATACCTGCGCTTATTAATAGAATATTATCATTGCCTGATTGCTTGCTTTTGCATGTTTTTTTTTTCTTTTCCTAGTCGTTCACTGTCGTGTGTCGTAGTGTTCGTGGTCATGTCTCGGCCGATTCTCGTTCCACTGATGCACTCGAAATGCGTTGCCATGTAGCTCGTTGTTTTGCAGAGCGAAGGCAATTATTTACGTTGGAGTGCGTCGCTGATCTGAGGGCGCCGTATCTTTTGCCATCAACTTTCCCTTGTGCCATGCGCCACCAGCCGTTCCGTGGAGTTCTCATTACGAGTATACCTAAAGAACTTGAGGATTCGTGTTTGCAATCTCTCGTTGATGTTTAGTTCTCTCAGGATTGAAACGTTGGTACAGTGCGCGGTCTACGGAATTCTTCGTAAACGCCTCCAACCAATCTTGCGAGATTTTCCAGCTCCATATAGAAATATTGAAAAAACCAAAGATCTCTTTTATCGAACCTTTGTATTTTTGGTATAAAAAGTGAAATGTGTACTCTTTTGTAAATTGAGAAATCGAGACAATTCGTTAATTATTTGTGAAAGCATCTTTCTGTAACAATGTGTAACCTATCTTTTGTCCTGGACACTCGAACGTACAAAACCGTAAAGGAAGGCACTGCTCGTAAAATTCAATTTAGAGAGTGTACAACAGAATCGAAGATATCAGAAGAATCCAATTAATTTCAGCAGCCATTTGCAAAAAGGGAACGATTCATAAAGTCAAATAAATGCTACTTTGTAGTTCGTAGATCGCATAGTTTCTTTGAAATACTACAAAGATCGTAAAAAGGATGAGAGCTTTAACCTCGTATGTACGCAAGGAATAAATCTATCAAATAATCATGTTAATATGACCCCTGTAAAAAAATATTATTTGAATTTCTACAAAACTTTCAAGTGTATCCATGTAAAATTTTTAACCATTTACGAATTTGAAGCTAATAGGACTATTATTTATTAATATCATAATGTTAGGAATAAAAATAAAATGAGGTACAATATAGAGAGGAGCTCGATAGCGCAAATGGTAAGCACGTTCAGCTGCGATCGTTGAAGTTAAGTAACTTTTGCAGTGGTCGGTCATTGGATGGGTTAACAAAAATTTACCATCTCGGGCTCCTCCATGCTTCGGAAGGCACTTTAAGCCGTTAGTTTCGACTACATCTGCAATTATAAGCACCCAGCAATCCGCATAGTCCAATCTTCCTATTCCATCCTGGAAAGCCTGTGCCCCAGCGGGGATATTAATAGGCTAATGATGATGATGATAAGGTGCAATGGTAGAGCGGTAATATTTAAAATAACTCCAAACTTTCAATATAAGTTACATTAGCATGGACATAGGATTTCACAAATAGATAGAACAAACAAATAGCACTTAAAGCCACGAGTTCTATATTTATTTGCCATTTTTTTTAATATCATTTATGTAAGTGGCCAGCTCCAGAAACTTTTAGTGCGCCCTATGTTATACGACATGAAAGCGACCTTGTAACACTAACCTCCTTTCATTACAATAAGTAGGCAACAGAGCAACGAAGCGAGAACATTCCCGCACTTTGTAGAAGAACAAAAGTGTTGTACTGACACTGATAATATTGTGACTAACCTGGTAACTTCCTGAAACGCGACGGTCGCTTCCGGGACTTTGCACGAGTTGTTCCCTGCTGCAATCGTAGTTGCCGACGTGAGCTGCAGACAAAATGGTCATTGTTAAAAAAATATAATATTGTATCGTTAAACGCTACTTAAATTCATGAGGTTCATAGAAAATCTGTGAAACTTCTGGGCCTTCAACATAGTTTCAACAAATAACAACTTAGTAATTATATAACTAGGATGGTGTTAAGTTCATAGGCGCGTTTTTATCTGTCGATAATATCGTCTGCGTTATTTTGATATTTCGCCATACTTCTATTGCGTCGCAAAGGGTAACTATGTTTCGTAGCTGTCCTAATAAAAAACCTCCTAAAACATGATTCTCGTAACAATGAATATTAGTCTAAAATAACATAGCAACATTTATCAATATTTATCTGCAACCATTTCTAATACACATTCCTTTTAATAAAAATACCTCGCTGTAGTAATTTCATTTTAATATTTTCTTATGAATAGTACTTTTGAGGAAAGAAGTGAATCTTTTACAGTTTTAGTCTGAAGAGCTCATAAATATAGCTGCATTGTGAAAACCTTCACGTACAAGCAACAAATTGTGGGATAATTCTGACGACGCGTTGCGGCAACGTACTATAAACAAATACGAAAAGAATATTTTTTGCGTTACGTGATCGTATGTGTGCATCTTTCTTGCGATGCGATAAATAGTCGTTTGACAGACGGTACCATTTTATAAATTTAACTCATACAATGTTTTTTCTAGCTTGCTATGTTCAAAATAGGTTGGACTAAATGAAAACTACCTTTGCTTGTATATTTACAGGGATATAAATATTATGTATAATCATATAACCCAAATTCTTCATATAGGTCAAAAAAAATATAAGGGACGAGGTAAAGTTATTTGTCTTATATCTCCATCTATAGTAGTACTTATAGGGAGTTGTTTAGCAACGATACCGCCCTTGAAGGTGCCGTAGTGACGGATGAAAATATGAGAAGCAGTATGAAGGTCTCATGGCAGGTAGAAAGATGAAGTAAAACGCCACGAAGTTGGACGAGATGAAAGCTTCGCCATGCATGTGCGAAGTCCTATCGCGTACTGGGTGATGTCAGCTGTCAGGTAGTCGTCCTTTTTTTGTTTTTTTTTTATTTATTTTTAAGGACCACATACAAGTTTACATTATCATTTAACCTAGGATAACTTTAGACTAAAATTTGTAACTAAAAGTAAACTCAACAACAATGGCCTCATCTTAATTTAACAATTATTCAAAATGCAGGACTCGATACATAAGCGTTTAAACATTGTGTAATATTACTTAGATTAAAAGAAAGAATAAGTAAAAAAAATATGTTCCTCCTTTATAATGAGATTAAATTTTATATAAAAATCGGGTTTAACCACTTGAGTCTAAGAATAATGTAATTACGATTATCTGTATATATTTATTTTATAGCAAATCTAATAAAATGTTAATTCAATATATATTTATATGTGTGCAGATAGATATTTATGTGTTTGTGTGAGAAAATATTTACCTATATAACATAATATTTATAATTATTAAAAAAAACTATTTAGTTTAAATATCTTGCGAGTGTGATAAAAGTTGCACTACTTGTTTGTTAAAAGAACCAGCACTGCAAATAAAAATGTCAATAGAGAGGAATTTATTGTTATATGTGTCCAGGATACGGTACAGAGGAGATCGAATGCCAGCTTTCGTCCGCGTCCTAGGCGTAGCAAACAGTGGTTTGGTGCGTAATAAACGCCTATGTGCGCGTGTTGGAACGTGGTATTTTAAATTATTTATTATATTTTTACAATCATATTTATTACTACACAGGTCATAGAGTAACATGGTATCAAGTTGAGAACGTCTAGACTTTAGTTCAAATTTTTTTTAATAGCAATTTTTAAGTTCGACGCTTTTTATAATATCTGTAATGGACACGACGCAGAAATTTCTTATGGACCATCTCTATAGAATTACTGTATTTCTCATAACGGATTCCATACCGACACTTTATATTCTAGTTGGAGCCTTACTAATGTTTTGTAAAGGTATATGCATGTAAGTGGGTTTTTGAAATCCTTTGAGAATCGCATGACAAGACCATGCATTTTGTAAGCTTTACTTATAATTTGTTGAATATGGATATCAAGATGTAGTTTGCTATCAAGAGTGAGGCCTAAATCCTTAATGCTGTTAACCCCAACGACATCTCCACTAAGTCTATAGCCAAAATTACTAACCTTTTTTTTAGAGTAAGTTATTGTATTGCATTTATTTATATTCAATTTTAGATTATTATTAATGCAGTAATTACAAAATCTGTCTAGGTCATCTTGAAGTAAAGAGTGATCTTCACACGAAAAATTTTTACGTCATCAGCATACAATAAAAACTGACTGTGTTTAAAACACTTATTTATATCATTAATGAAGATCACAAACAGCAACGGACCCAGGATAGAGCCCTGCGGGATGCCGGAGGTAACATTAGTGACCTCTGATTCAGAACCATTAATGACAACTTTTTTAATATTCTTATTAATTCAGATGTGAACCACCTAGGATAACTAGTGCATTTTATAAGTTTTTAGGGAACGTGACGTGCGATGATACTATAAACATTTTCATAAATTTCATTTTCGTGGGCGATCTACTGGGGATCTTCTTGTGTATGCTACCCACTTATGGAGTGAAGCCATAGAGAAACGCGGCGAAGCTCTCGCCGTTTCTCTTGATATTTCTAAGGCTTTTGACAGGGTCTGGCATGCAAGTCTCATTGGCAAGCTTCCTTCATATGGAATCGCTGTCGGACTTTGCAACTGGATTGCAGATTTTCTGAGGGGCAGATCGATACGAGTGGTCATTAATGGCACATCGTCGGATCTGCTTGGTATTAATGCCGGTGTCCCCCAGGGATCTGTCCTCTCCGCAACTCTATTCTTGCTGCACATCAATGATCTGCTCCTAACTCCTGGTATCTTTGGGTATGCAGATGACAGCACAGTTTCGGGGAGATATCTGCCTGATGTAAAGTCTAATGCAGATGTCCGATCATTAAGGGAGGCGATGGTGGAGGGAGTGAATGCAACCCTGGAAGCTGTTTCCCTCTGGGGTGAAGCCAACTTGGTTGGATTCAATCCCTCTAAAACACAGGCCTGTCTCTTCTCGACGAAACGGAGTCCATTCCATCTGACTCCGACTTTCCGAAATGTCTCCGTGCCGGTTAAAGACCATCTCGAGCTCTTGGGTATGGACATCTCATCCAGCCTCAATTTCGGTCCCTACATCGAGTCCATTGCTAAAACCGCTGCCAGAAAACTTGGAATACTTTCTAAGGTCAGGCGATATTTTACATCTGAGCAGCTCCTTAACCTTTACCGAGCCCAAGTTCGCTCCTGCTTGGAGTACTGTTGTCACCTTTGGGACGGATCTGCTCGGTATCAGCTGGATGCACTGGACTCGGTGGAACACCGTGCGAAGAGACTCATAGGCAATGACGCTCTCGTTGAGGCTAATCTTCAGAGCCTCGACCACCGAAGACGTGTAGCTTGCCTTTCGGTGTTTTATAGGTTACATTTCGGAGAGTGTGCGGAGGTATTACATAATTTGATCCCCCCTTCCCCTTTCCACCACCGGACGACCAGGCGCGGCGAGGGCTTCCACCCTTATGTTGTCGAAGTTCCTCCTATTCGCACGAAGCGATTTGCTTCGGCCTTCATTATACGAACGGCTAGGGAGTGGAACTCCTTGCCGAGGTCTGTTTTCCCGGACCAATATAACCTGGACATCTTCAAGGCCAGAGTGAACAGGCATCTTCTAGGCAGGCGTGTACCATCCTAGGCCTCATCATCGCTTTCCATCAGGTGAGATTGTGGTCAAACGCATTGCCTATTTAGCATAAAAAAAAAAAAAAAAAAAAAAAAAAATAAAACAATGAAGTTACTTCTTCAGAGCACTTATCTAAAAATATATTTTGCCAATGAATGTTTTCCAACTCTTGCTTGACCGTGGAATAATCAACATTTGTATAGCAGTATCTCAGATATGGCTTTAGTCGCATGTTGGGCAAGGAACCATTACACAAAAAGGTGGATGATGCGCATTAGGAAGTAGTAATGGACTAGAAATAGAAAAGAGTTCACAATTATTTTTATTTTTTAAATATAGGTCCAAAACGCGGTCATTGTGATTTTGTAGTTTATTTACTTGATAACAGTTTAATGTTGCCATGAAGTTTACTACACGCGCATGGAGTAGGTTGAAACCGCTACTATGAGATTATTGTCCACAAGTTTTATTGTCTATCCAAATCAAGTTAGTTAAATTAAAATGGCCCACCACTAGAAATTCATTTAAATTAATATTCCCTTCAAGAAAGCGGTTTTCCAACCTATGCAAGTACATGCGATAAATCTCAGGGCTTTGTTTAGGCGGAATGTAGACTGCACCTATACATAAACATTTTTTTTGCGACTTTAAGTTCTATTAGAATATGATCGATGACGGGTGGGAATGGAGTGTCGAAGGAGACGGGTGCGCAACCGGCCGAACAAAGGGCTCTCTGGATTGCAATCAGTACGCCGCCGCCATCGCGCCGGCCGCTCATATGACGATCTCGGTCTGCATGGAATACCATGTACCTATCATCTATATGTATATTCGTTATCAGAGATGTCAGCATGTAACCATGTCTCAGTTAGTATTATTATATCGTATGCGTGTGTAAGTATATTCATAAATAGTGTATGTAGTTTGGTTCTAATACCACGACACTTCTGGTAATAATAGATAAAGTAATACAAGACAATAGTTAAACTTGATTTTATTATTATTAAGTTTACCTACACTCTCAACTTGTAATAAATTTAGTTGCAACATTAAACATGCAAAGTAGTTTAATATATTAGATAAAGATAATATTTTAAGATTATGACGAACAAATAAAAAGGTCGTGACATATGATTTAAATTTATATTTTATATTTATGCACACACCTTTATCCAACAAGTAGTTATTATGTTTATGTATTAGTAACCAGACATAGTTTATATCC